TACATTTAAACTAGATAATACTGTAACTATTATAATTGCCATAATATATTTATGTAAAAATCTTTTATAAATCAAATTATTCCGTTGACCATTTAATTTTAGGGCAGGTGCCATGACGTCCGGGACTGGAGCAGCGGGCCACTCACTCGTGTTCCGGGTGATGCGGCTGGGGAGAAATGCATAATACAGCACCCCTCTCTTATGTGGTTGCCCCTTTGCCATGCTCCTTGCTTCCTCCATGGCGCGCTTAGTCACGCCCATCTCTGCACCCTAAATGTTTAACGACTAACTCTAAATTAGTAACGTTAAACGTTAATTAGTAGATGTTGTTAACTAATATGTTAATGACTATAATTTTATAATTAGCCAGTGAATATACTTATAATTTATAAGTATATAACCTACGATTGGTTTAGCTCCTTATATTTTCTTTCTTATTTTATTCATTCTCTTTAGTATTATGGCTAGATTGGAATATGTAGATCATGCTTAAGATAGTATTCTTTCTTTTTCTGATCTTATTAAGAGAACTAATAGTAAAGTAAATTCTTTTGCTTTTTGTATTATGGTTGGTCTTCTTCCACAAGAGAGAGAATGTGAAAGATGCCATCAACCAATGAGATATCAATCTGATAATTGAGGTTGTAAAGATGGTTTAAAGTGGAATTGTAAAAATTGCAATACCACAAGATCTCTTAAAACTAATACATGGTTTGCAAATAGTAATTTTATATTTGCTCAAATGCTTAGAGTGATGTATTGTTGGTGCATTAAAATGCCACAAAATAAAGTGAGCATACGACAACAAATTGGTACAACTTTTGTCGTGATATTTGTATTATCACATTATAATAAGGTAGTCAAAAGATTGGTGGTCCAGGAAGAATTGTGGAAATTGATGAAAGTAAGTTTGGTAAGCGGAAATATAATCGTGGTAGAAGAGTAAAAGGTCAATGGGTTTTTGGAGGAATTGAAATGTATTCAGATTTGATATTTTCGTATTGCACAAACTTTAAATGATATATTATATACATATGTTGA